GCTGCGGGCTGTCCGGGCCTCACCAGGGTTGGCCATGCTCCGGTGGATGGCAGCCAGGTCCTTCCTCTTCCACTTGTGCATCTCCTCCTCCATCTTGTCAATGCGGGCCAGGTTCAGAGCCCACAGGCAGCCCTTGCGGGAGGAGCCGCTCATCTTGTTCTCCACCTTCTCGAAGCACTTGTTCAGAGACAGGTTGTGCCGCACTGAGTTCTTCCACCCGTCGGGAGCCGTCTATGAAGAGACATCGGCATTCAGAGGCCTCCCTGTAAGCCCTTCCTCCTACCCCGGGGATCTCCTACTCAGGCCCATAGCGGCAGGACATCGCGGTGGCAGGAGTAATTTGACAGTGATTGACACTCAGCCTCAAGTTGGAGAGACAAGAGAGAGTGCTGGGGATGGAGGCCAGCTGGTGTGGCCATGCCCTGATGAGAGGGGAAGTACAATTCAGCTCCGGCCAACTGTTACTATAGGAGGATGCAGCCTGGCCTGCTGGATATTCCATACTCTCTCTCCCACTGAGGAAGCAAGCAAAGAAGAATGATGCCCATAAATGGATAACTGGTCAAGTGTATTCAATGCAAATTTACTTTTTGAGATAGGGTCTTGCTCTGTCACCCAGGCTAGAGTACAGTGGTGTGATCACAACTCACTGCAACCTCGACCTCCTGGGATCAAACAGTCCTCCCACCTCAGCCCCCCAGGTAGCTGGGACTACAGGCGTGCACCACCAGCAAATTATTTTTAAATGCTAGATAACCAGATATCACAATGCATCTCACACCACACGTGTACATGTACTCACACACACTGTACTGCAGTATTTTTGCTAAGGACACTGTCCAGGCCAGGGACCCTACAGCTTGGTGTACCCTCTAACTTCCTGCTCCACTTTTTGCTTTGATGCTAACAAGGATAACATTACTAGTGGCCAACCCTATGCCAGAAGCTGCCAGGCCCTTATCTGCAGGATCCTCACTGACCTTGCCAGCTTGGGATGATTCTCCACACCTGATATATGAGGATACTGAGGCTCAGAGGTGAAGGCTCTTGCCAGTTCCGTTGTTTTGCATCATTATGTTGTACTGAATCCGTGCTGAGTAACTAGTCTGGTGCCTCTACCCTTTTCTCCTTGGGATGCCTAATGAACTCCTCTTCATCTGTCAGAGCCCAGTTCAAATGCCCCCTCTCTTTCTGACTTTCTTCTATGTGAGTGTATGTGCACATGTCCTAATCACCAGATATACAGACATAACTGGGAACCAAAGAGGGTTGGCCCAGGGCCAGCCCTGGATTCTGGCAGCACCAGGCAGCTCCAGCACCCTTACCCTGGCTTGGGACCCCTCACCTTGAAGTAGGGGAAGTGCTCCTTCATGAAGCTGTAGATCTCACTCACAGGCAGGCTGCCCGTCTTGCTGTTCTTCAGGGCCATGGCGATCAGACAGCTGGGGGCAGGAGGTGGGGCAGGGCAGGGCAGGCCAGGCGTGAAGGGGTCTCAGGCTGACAGCCCAGTGCCTCTTCTGCCAGGAAGCCTGCCCTGCTTGACCCTACACACTCACACACAGTGAGCTCTCAATACCATTTCATGGCCCGATGTCTTTCCCCCCCTTTGCCCTTTCTCCTTGACCCTGGGCTCAACCATTGGTACTGACTTGAGAAATCTTACTCTTTCCCCTCTTCATGGCATCCCCATAATTTTAATGACTATGAGCCTTTAGACTTTCCCTAGGTTGTTTCCCCCTCCCCAAACTCCCGTGAGGTATACAATACTATTACTTTGATGACTTTTTACATTTGGGGAAATCAAGGCTCAGAGAGGCCACGCCACTTACTCAAGGCCACACAGCTTGTGAATGAAGTGAACTGTGGCACTGGATTCAGGTCTGCAGTGGGCTCTTGACCTGGGGGACCCTATGATGCTCCTTCCTGAGAACAAGTCCCACCTGGGGGTTCCCCACTCCCCAAAACCTCCCTCTTGGAAGTCTGGGCTGCCACATGTAGCTGTCTGAGATGCCCTGAGCGCAGCCTCATCCCTCTCCTCCCGGAGCCGCCCTCGGCCCTGACCCGGCCCACCCTGGACCTCACCTGTACGAGTAGATGGGCTTGGGGTAGTGTTTGGGGTGCAGTTCCTGAGACGAATGCACAGCCATGTGGGGCTGGGGGTAGGGGGGCCGTACCCCAAATGGGGGGCCATAGAGGCCCACAGGAGGGCACTTCCCACAGGCAGGGGCAGGGAGAAAGTGGCAGAGAGAGAGGGAAAGAAGGTGAGAAAGAACATACGTCACTCACAGTAACCCTGTCCCAACCCTAGTTTCAAAACGCCTCGTGTGGGGATTCACAGCCGTCCAGGAAACAATCTTGTCTCCGCTCAGGGCAGGAGTTTTGGGGGAACGGAATGAATGACCCCATGACCTGAGCATGGGGGGGAATGTTATTCCCATGTTCTGGGTGAGTAAACTGAGGCTCAGAGAGGTCCCTGGCCAGCCCAAAGCAGGGTGTCTGCTGCTGAGTCCAGGGCTCCCCTGAGCCCTTGGTACCTGCTGGGCACCCGGGGGGAGCGGGAACTGTGGTTGGGTGGCAGGTGAGTACAGATGCGGCGGGTCTTGCAGGCCAGATGAGGACTGGCCCCCCACGGGGAACTGGCTCATCTGCTGGGCGGGAAGAGGAGGAGACAGAGGGTCAGAGTGGGGGTGGGCACCCAGTCTGGAGGGCACTGCCCACTCTTCGCAGTCCATGCAGTGGTACTTACGCTGTCTCCATGACCAGTTATGGGGCCCAGACCTGGCATGCCTCCGGGGGCCATGCCTGCTGGGCCATGGAGAAGGGGACTTGGAGTGGCTCCCACATGCAGGTCGGCCGCCCCAGCCAAGGCACCTGCAGAAGAGAAGCACAGAGACGCTGCTGGGCCAGAGGAATGGTGGCTGCCACCAGGAACGGCCCAGTGCCCAGGTGTCTCCAGAGAATGGAGCCAGCTCCTTTCCTCAGACCAGGCACAGAGTAGGTGCTTGGCAAATCACTTCCCTGGTATGTAGTGAAAAGTAGGTTCTTACGTGCTATACAACCTTAGGTCAGCCTCAGTTTTCCCATTCGTACTGGAACTACTGATACCCCTAACTATAAATTTGCTGTGAGGGTTAAATGAGATAATGTCTATCAAGTGCTTAGCACATTGCTGGGCACATAATACCTCAATAAACATGAGTCAATAATAAATGATAATCATGATGATGTAATAGCTTAGTTCCTGTCCTTCATGAAGCTAAAACACTAATTCACTGTTCATTTCTTTTTCTCAAAAACATGCCATGGCTCCTGAGTGCCTCTAGGTTTAGGTCCAAAATGGCTTTGTGCCTTCTCTCCCTTTTGTCAAGCCCTGCTCCTCCACACAGGATGAGAATAGCAGACATGCTTCCCCCATCTTGTGCTGGGCTTGTGACAGACATTGCTAATCTATCACAGATTCTTATTGCACTAGGCTGATTTCAGGCAGCCACCTCCAATCAAGCAAAGTTGACCTGCAGGATGGTCTTACCCTAGGGGCACCTCTTCCAGGAAGCCCTATGGGTCCTTCTCTCCTCTGAGTTCTGGCTGCCACCGTCCCTAGATCTGTTTGTCTTGTCCTTCTCTCTCTGACCAGATCGTCAGCTCCCTAAGAATTGGGACCACATCTTCTATCACTCATTGCTCCAAATGCCTGGCACAGTAACAGGCCCACAGAAAGTACCCAGCAGCCACAGTGAAGAAAGAGGCATCCTTATTTCACCATTTATTAAACACCTCCTGCGTTCAAGGCACTCTCTGCATCGAATCCTCACAATGTCCCATGCAGGCACTTCTGTTACACTTTTGCTGCAGATGTGGAAACTGGTCAGGGCAGAAAGCACTTGGCTGAGATCACACAGCTGTCCCCTGGGGCTTCTAGATCAGGAATTGGCAAACTGGCAGCCAAACTCTGGCTCAGAGCCTGTTTTTATAAATAAAGTTTTACTGGCACAGAGTTGCACTGATTCATTTACATATTGTCTGCGGCTGGTTTTGTGTTACAGTGGCACAGTTGAATCGTTTTGACAGATCAGATGACCTACAAAATCTAAAATATTGACTACCTGGCCCTTGACAGAAAGTTTGCTGACCCCTGCTATACATGCTTTGCCCAAGAACAATTTGCCCAATGAAACAAATAATCCTAGACAAGTATTTTTCAACCACTGGTACTTTTAATATACTGTTGTTTATTGTTTTGTCACTGTTTTGCTTTTCTTCAATACTTTCTGTGTCTCTAAGCATTTTATCCATTGCCTATGATTGCAGCTAACTGCCATTAGCTGCAACTAGCTGCCATTTATTATCTACTGTGTGCCAGACCCTACACTCAGCACTTCCACATATTATCTCTTGGAATCCTCTTGATCAGGGGGCAGCAAACTTCTTTTGTGAAGGGCCAGATGGCAAATATTTTAGGCTTTGCCAGCCAGATGGTCTCTGTGTTTTTACAACCCTTGGAAAATGTAAAATCCATTCCTAACACAAAGGCTGTACAGAAACAGGCCGTAGGCTGCATTTGGCCCACGGGCTGTAGTTTGCCAACTGCCCTAGAGGTTCAGGATGCACCATTGTGGCAGCAGGACTGTATTCACAGAAACCTTAGCTCACTCAGGGCCTGGCACACGGTTAAGCAAATGATGAACCACATCCCTCTAAGGAAGGAGCGTTTGTCCCATTTTACAGATGCAGAAAGAGAGGCCCAGAGAGACTGGGAGACGGGGTCATGGCCACACGGTGGGTGGGTGGCAGGGCTGGGAATCACCCCCTTTCCTATATCACACTCCTCCCTGCCCACCCTGTCCCTGAGCCTACCTGGGTGTGGATGTGGCACGCAGGGGCCACCCAGGTCCACGCGGCCACTTGCCATCTGCTGCAGCCGAGGCACATCCACCGCCGTGAGCCACGACAGCGACTGCAGGTCCCCGGGGAGGTCGTCATCGCTGGTGGTGGCTAGAAGCCTGAAGAGAGGAGCAGAGAGCTCTGGCGGGAGGGGGAGCTTAGGCCAGCTCCTGGGGGTGCGTCCTGACCTCTGGAAGCATCCGCTTAATGTGCCTCATCTCCCCAAGCCACGCCAGCCCTCCAACCTGCTCATCCCCAGGACTGGGCACGGGAACCTGGTCCCAGATCCCTTTTGGTGGCCAGATCTTTCATCCTCATCCTTCCTTCCTTCGCCCACTTAACACATCCTACTTAGCACCTACCACAAAAACAATACACGCAAATGTTTCTTGAGGACTTACTATGTGCCAGGCAGCGGTCAAGACTTTTTACACTCCCAGTCACCCTGTGAGGCAGGTATTATTATTCCTATTTTGCAGATGGGGAAACTGAGGCACAGTTGGAGCTTACCTACTATGGGACACTACAGAACAGAGCAGTCAGGGCCTGTGGCCAGGGTCCCACCTGCCAGGACAGGATCAGGCTCCCGACTCCACGTCCAGGGCAGTTTCCTGCTGTGCTGTAGCTGTGAGGAACATGGAACTTGGGAACAGTCTGCGTGGATGATCCTGCCATGTGCTGAGGCAGCTGAGCGCCTGCTACCTGCCGGGCCTTGGACTCAGCATTCAACAAGCGCTGTCCTGCACAATTCCCACAGCTGCTGTGAGATGTAGGGTGGGCCCATACTCCCAATGTACAGATGAGAAAACTGAGGCTCGAAGCACTGAGTCACCGCCCAAGACGACACAGAACAGGAGGTGGTGGGGCTGAGACCCAGTCAGTGCCTCCTGAAGCCTGAGCTCTTCATGTTGACCCCTGGTGGCCCCCAGAGGTTCCAGCTGGGACCCACGCCCACCAGCCGCAACAGATTCATGGGCAAAACATTGCTTGTTGTGGATGTAGGATAGCTGCCCACGGAGGTGCCAGACAGGTTGGTGATCTGGGATAGCCATGTCATTCCCCAGTGCCCTGAAGTCACACTTGCCACGCGATTCCAAGAGCACCGGGTCTTACACCACCATCTGGGCCCTGTCGTGACAGTGCAGAGACCAGCCCAGGAGCACACGCCAGACCCCACATCTGCCACCCCTGCGGCCAGGGGCTTTCTGTGTCACCACCAAGAGGCCCACAGTCTAAATTCTAAGCTCCATGTTTCAAAAATAGCCTCATAGATTGAGTAGAGAGAGGCGGGACACCGACCCATTCTGCCCTGGTTTTCTGCGCCTCTCAGAGGCTCCAGCGAGGCCTGGCCCCTTCCCTCCCTCCATCTGCTTGGCCAGCTCGGCCTCACATTCTCCCTCTCCCTCCTCCTCCCTCTCTGTCTCTCTCTCTCTGCTCCTCCCCATCTCTCCCCTCTTGTGTTTTAGGGCCACAATTAGCGTTGCCATGGCCACACTGCTCAGTTGTCACAGGGCCCGGGCCCTGGGCCCACGAAGCTGGCATCAGGTGACTGCCTGGCTGCCCCCGCGATTGGCTGCCTCATAGGGAAACAGGGCCTGGAAACGATTTGAAAACGCGGCCGGCCGTGTCAGTGGCAGCAGTTGGCCCGGCTGCTGTCCCCCGGCATCCCATTGTGTGACAAACGACTGTTGCCCCTGTGGCACGTGGCCCCCATTGTACCAGGGTCTCAGTGCAATTGTTTCTGCGGCCCCCCGGCTGCCACCCCTCCAGCCTGCTCGTAACTCATCTGGCTAAGTGACAGCCACGGCCTGGGCCTGGGTGATACCATCTGTCCCCTCAGGCCCTGGGAGACCATGGGGTGAAGTGCAGGGGCAGGGCCTGGTGTGCCACCCGCTGTTGAGGGTGCTGGCTAGTCCCCACCCTCCCTTCCTCACCCACTGGCCAGCAAACCTCCTGGCGCCTGGTGGTACAAGCCATGCTCCTGTTCAGTAACCTGCTGTGACTCCCCACTGCCCTGGCCGCTCTGCTTGGCACTGCGGTAACAAGGAGAAGTGGAGATGGGCCCCTGCTGGCAGGTTTAGCAAGGTAGCTGCCCTCCAAAGCTCCCTGAGTGAGGGGCTATAAATGAACTAGGTTCCTAGGTGCCACTGTGGGGCAGAATCTCTGGCAGCAGGTAAACCTAACAGGCAGCACCCGTGGTGGTTAAATGCTTGGGCTCTGGATTCTAATCCTGGTTTCCACTTGCCTGTGTGCCCTTGGGCCACTGGCTTAACCTCTCTGAGCCTCAGTTTCTTATCTGTATAATGGGGATAACAATAGCTCTTTTCTCATAGGATGTCATAAGAAATATGTAATTGCATGTAAAGCACTTAGAACATTGACTCATAGTAAATGTAATAAGAATATTTAGCTGCTATTAATATTAACACCAACATTAATGTTCATATTAATATTCACCAGGTCGCCAGGGGGCTGGAAGTACGTTGAAGCTTTGGGATCTGGGGGTCACAGCGACTTGCCCTGGCCACGGCTACCACTAAACACTTCCCTGTAAGGAGCACTGCCTGTGTGCCAGACCCTGGTTTTACACTGGCCCCATTGTACAGATGAAGAAACACAGGACTGAGTGGTCACTTCAGTGCTGTCAGCCTGCCTCCCCACAGAGTGAGGATTACACGAAGTCAGGTATAAAGGGCGTAGCACATGGCTGTGCATCTAGTTGGGCTGAGTCAATGGCGCTATCCTGATGCTTCTCTTTCCTGCTACTTGTGAGCCCCTCTGGCTCCCCCTTCCTGCAGCCCCACTCCTCCTGCAGCCCCCAGCAGACCCAGGCAGGGCTCGCACCTCTGCGTTTGCCGTTCCTCTTGCAGGAATGATGCCCTTTCCGCCTCCTCCCCAGCACCCATGCCCACCCCTGGAGGCTCACTGCAAAGTCTGACTTCTGGCCTCTTCACCCCAGATATCCCACAGACATCACTGGACCCCACCTCTTATTTTACCTCTGGGAAGCAGAGATTGGCTTGCTCCCAATGTCACAGTACGGAAAAGGACCAGGGCTGGGGTCCTGACTCCCCATGCAGGCTCCTGCTATCCCGAGAGCAGCACCTCCGCTGGGAAGCCTTTGCCACCCAGACCCCAAGCACAGGACCCACTCTGCACCCTGACTGCTCTCTACACTTCGCCAGGACCAGCGGGTCCTGCACCGTCTAGGTCTCTGCCCCATTACCCCGCCTTCTGGCTCACTGAGTGTTGGCCCCAAGCCCCATATTGCCCCATGTCCTTGCACACAGTGGGTGCCTTTTTTTTTTTTTTTTTTGAGATGGAGTCTTGCTCTGTCACCCAGGCTGGAGTGCAGTGGCACAATCTTGGCTCACTGCAACCTCCGCCTCCTGGGTTTAAGCGATTCTCCTGCCTCAGCCTCCTGACTAGCTGGGATTACAGGTGCGTGCCACCATGCTGGGCTAATTTTTGTAATTTTAGTAGAGATAGGGTTTCACCATGTTGGTCAGGCTGGTGTTGAACTCCTGACCTCGTGATCCGCCTGCCTTGGCCTCCCAAAGTGGGTGCCCTTTAAATGCCTGCTTGGCTGGTTGAAAAAAGACTGACCGCAGGCCACCAGCGCTGAGAGTTGGTGTGACAGGGATGGTCACATCCAGCCCTTTTGAACTGACAGAGTTGTCTTCTGCCTCCTCGGGTCCTTGTCACAGCCCCAGGACAGGGACAGAGAGTAGGCAGCCCCACTTCACAGAGGGGGAAGCTGAAGCCAGCCCAGTAAAAGAAAAATCCCTTTGTTAATAAGCGAGGCAGTCAGAAGTCGAACCCGGGTCTGTCTGCATGCCTCAGATTGTTCCTATGGCACTACAGTGGAGATCAGACATCTTCTGGGGGAGATGCCCCACCCTGGGTCCCAGGCTCTCACTTGGGGCCGTGCAAACCGGCATCTCCCAGAGAGCCAGTTAAAATGCAGAGTTGGGGCCCCAGCTCAGACCCTGAAGCCCCACCCTTGGGACTTCCAGCTATGCTCTGGGGGAAGGACAGCCCACAGGGGGCATGGCCAAAGCTCAGGCCTTGACTGGACAGATCTGGGTTCAAGTCCTTGTGATCCCGAGCTGCATGACCTTGGACAAGTCACTGCAGGTTCCCGGGGCTCCGCTCCCTGGCTGTCATAGGATCAGATGAGCCACTGTGTGATTGACTTTTGGCACAGGTGCAGTCCCCATCTCCCTTCTCAGGGGTTTGCTGTACATGCTTGGGGTTGATGGCCAGGCCCCTGCTTCCCCGCTGCCCCAGGCATCCCAAAGGTGGTCTGCTCCTCTCTTGTGCCCACTGCCCATGCTGGAATGTCCGCCTCAGTACACCTGACAGGTGGCCCCAGCCAGCACCCTGGACACCTGCAGTGGCTGTGGGCACCAGGAGCACTGTGGTGGGAGTCCACTGGCTCCGAAGCCTGGCTAGCTTCCCACTGTTTCTTAGAGTCTCTCTGGCATTCAGGCATGTCTTCTGTGTGCATGGCAAGGGCCAGGGGCTGACGCACCAGGGCCTACCTGAGAATGTCTCATCCCCCAATCACCTGACCACTCTGACCTCTGTCCCCTGCAGAAAGGTCAGCACGCCCCCCTCTCCACAGTGGCATGCGAAGCCCCCTCCATACCTCTCCTTCATCAGTGCCTGAAGTTCCCTCATTAAAGGCGTCCCCATGTGCCCTCGCCTTGCTCTCTCCCGGTGCCTCATTTGAGATGGTGTAAACTACAGGGCCCACAGCAGCTGTAACTCAGGAAAGGCTCCTTGGTTCTGAAACCACCCATTCTGGCTTCTCAGCCATAGGCCCTGAGGAGGGCACTTAATCGCCAGCCTCAGTTTCCCACCTGTAAAATGGGCGTGAGTGATAACAGTAATAGCCGCAATGCCTCATACCCCCAGGCTGGCACACTGGTGTGGAGGCACAGTGGCTTTGTGATCCACCCTGCCATCTTAGAGGGCTGGGAATATTCCCTGGTGTGTGTGTGTGTGAGAGAGAGCGCCACAGAGAGAGAGACCCTGTATCAACCTCCTAAGTTTCCCGTCTACTGGAAAATGACAGGACATTTTAATTTCAAAGAGAAAGGCACATTCCAGCCCC